AGCAAGAGCGAGACCCCGTCTCTACTATAAATAGAAAGAAATTAATTGGCCGACTGATATATATATAAAAAAAAATTAGCCAGGCATGGTGGCACATGCCTGTAGTCCCAGCTACTCAGGAGGCTGAGGCAGAAGGATCGCTCGAGCCCAGGAGTTTGAGGTTGCTGTGAGCTAGGCTGACGCCACGGCACTCACTCTAGCCTGGACAACAAAGCGAGACTCTGTCAATCAATCAATCAATCAATAAAAATAGAAAAAATTAGCCAGGCGTGGTGGTGCACACTTATAGTCCCAGCTACTAGAGAGGCTGAGGCAGGAGGATCCCTTGAACCTAAGAGTTTGAGGTTGCTATGAGCTAGGCTGATACCACAGCACTCTTGCCTGGGCAACAGAGTGAGACTCTGTCTCAAAAAAAAAAAATTGACTGGACTTCTCAGTTTGCATCCAGTCAGGTAGCTGAGTCAGCAAAATCTTCCCATATGTCCCCCCAAACGGACTGATAAAGAAGCCTACTCCCTGGATCCTTGGCCTTTTCTTAGGGGATCATTAATTTTGATAAAACTGGTCTCCACTTAGAAGCAAAACTCTTCAAAGACCTTTATCTCAAAGCAAGAAACACAACCTCAGATTTACAACTGCAAATGACTGACTTTAAAAAATGATGATGCTGACTACAAATACAAGTAAACATTATAAGCACTAGAATTTTACTTAAGATTGTTATTATTTTTGTTGGTGCTCTGGTAACAAAACTGCACAGGATTTGAGTGGTCTGCCTCAACCCTATTTTTCCCATAAGCGCTGTATAATCTCAATTCAGTTTTCACAGCAACTTGGTAAGACGGTTCCCAAAAAGGTAAAGTGATTTGTTCAAAATCACATAGCTAACAGCAGGCAACATAAGGATTTAGAACTATCCTAATTAAAAACATATGCTTCTCTCCATTGTATTATTATAGTAACCATAAATGCTACACCTGAAATCCTAACTAAATTAGTAACAGGAATATTCATTTAGTCCATTAACTTACAGGAGATGAAGGATGCTTTCGAAGTTCAGATGTAAAGTTCACTTCCTTATACTCCTCTTGATTCTTAGGATGTTGTTTAATGCGCTCATCTGTGCGAAAGTGGAAGTCAATTGATTTGGTTACCTGGCTCACTGATTTCTTCACAGGTTGCCCTGATAAGAAATTAAAACACAGAGATAACATTAAGAATATCAGTAAATCTCCTTTTAATACAGTGCTTTTAGTATTCCTATTACCATGGATCTGACTTTGTTCACTATCTACATGTAACCCAAATCTTGCAACAGTCCTCAAGGACACCAATGTATGTGTCATATTCATTGAGTACTAATAGGTTTGAGGCCCTACAGGCAGATGCAAACTATAAAGAGGTAGCATAGGCAAGAAGAATCGCATCTCCCAGGTGTGGTCAAAGCGCTGGAAAAACAGAATAACTGGAAGTAACACTTTTCATAGAAAAAGTGATGGATTGACTTTAAAAGCACATTTAGCTCTAAGAAGAAAACCCTATAAACTTCAGGGGTGTTTTTTCAGCCCAGTAATGAGGGCTTGATAGCTATGACTCCACCAATAATAATTGTGTGCTAGAGCAAAGCAGAACTGTGAGCCTTCAGATCCTTCATCATACTTTTCCTCCATAGATATAAACTGGATTTCACTCAGTTTTCTTTTCCTCTGCTTTTAGGATAAAATGGGAAAACAACAAACTGGCCTGCCGAATTACTTTATCTTCTATCTCAATCCTAGTTCCTTCTTTTTCTAAAACAAAGGAGAGGAATAGCGTGCTCTAAGAAAGGACCAATGTATATAAAATGTTCCAGGGAATGGGCATTGGAATATGGATGGAACCCATATCCAGCCTTCTAAATAAACACATCTTTTTATGCTGACTATTATGAAAGCCTTTTTTTGCTTTAGGGACCTCAGAAAAAACCCTACCAAGATTATAAGAAGCACCCCTCATAAATCAGACTCAACCAGAGCCAAGCTGACCTGTTCCTGCAAGAGCAAGTTTCTTGAATTCTTCATTCTTTTTCCGCATCTCCACCACCTCCTGCTGCATTTTCATTCTCTTTTCCAACTCTTGCTCCTCAGTACTTTTTAGAACTTTTCGCCTAAAGGACAAATCAGCAAAGAAGATAAAAAAAGAGAAGAAGGCCAGGCGCAGTGGCTCAAGGTCAGGAGTTCGAAACCAACCTGAGCAAGAGCGAGATCCGTCTCTACTAAAAATAGAAAGAAATTAACTGACCAACTAAAAATATTTATACAAAAAATTAGCCGGGCATGGTGGCGCATGCCTGTAGTCCCAGCTACTCAGGAGGCTGAGGCAGAAGGATTGCTTGAGCCGAGGAGATTGAAGTCGCTGTGAGCTAGGCTGATGCCATGGCACTCACTTTAGCCTGGGCAACAAAGTGAGACTCTGTCTCAAAAAAAAAAAAAAAAAAAGAGGAGAAAGGGCTCAATGATTCAAAGTATCTACAAAACATCTATAATGTTTTTAACTTGTGATAAAATTGCCATCAAAAACAAAAATATTATCTAATAAACAGATACTGACTTAATTATATGACACTATAAAAAAACAAGATGCAAAATATTGAAAAAAGCTATCAGAAAGATAGCTAAAACAGACCATAGAAGATATTATAAAAGATCCAGAAATCTGACTATATAATGATTAGCTTTTATGCCACAAGAAAAAAAAAAATTAAAAAACAAGTAGAGGCCAGGTGCAGTGACTCATATCTATAATCCTAGCACTTTAGGAGGCAGAGGTAGGAGGATCATTTGAGGCCAGGACTATCCTGGTCAACATAGTGAGACCTTGTCTCTACAACAAATAGTAAAATTAGCCGAGCATGGTGGCACACCCCTGTAGTTCTAGCTACTTGGGAGGCTGAGGCAGGAGGGTCGCTTGAGCCCAGTAATTTGAGGTTACAGTAAGCTAGGATCATGCTGCTGCTCTCTAACTAGAGCAACAGAGTGAGACCCTGACTCAAAAATAAAAAAAAACAAAAGAAGGCCGGGCGCGGTGGCTCACGCCTGTAATCCTAGCTCTCTGGGAGGCCGAGGCGGGCGGATTGCTCGAGGTCAGGAGTTTGAAACCAGCCTGAGCAAGAGCGAGACCCTGTCTCTACTATAAATAGAAAGAAATTAATTGGCCAACTAATATATATAGAAAAAATTAGCCAGGCATGGTGGCGCATGCCTGTAGTCCCAGCTACTTGGGAGGCTGAGCCCAGGAATTTGAGGTTGCAGTGAGCTAGGCTGACACCGCAGCACTCACTCTAGCCTGGGCAACAAAGCGAGACTCTGTCTCAAAAAAAAAAATCTCAACTATGTGATTTCATTTTCTGCCGAAATGATCTTGAGAAAAGTATTTAACCTCTTTATGCCTCAGTTTTCTCTACTGTAAAATGAGGAATAAAAATTCATGCTCTCGGCATGCAAAATCCTGTCGAAAAAAAAAAAAAAATTCATGCTCATAGAATATCCACAACTATTAAATCAGGTAATGCTTCTGAAGTGCTTGACACGTGGTAAAATGCAATATAGAGTAGCCATTCTTAGTAATGAGAATATCACTAACACTACTTATAGATAAATAAAAAAGGAAACAGACAATTCACTAAAGAGAAAATATGGAGATGATGTTTATAACAACAATATATCTTGTCATCAAATAAATATAAATTAAAATAATTTGATGCTGGGAGTTGTAGGGAATGGGGAGAAGATGGTCAAAGGATATATAATCTCAGAAGGAATAAGTTTTTTGAAATCTATTGCACAGTATGATGAATATAGTTAATAATGATGTATTATACATTTCAAAATTGCTAAGAGAGATTTCAAATGTTCTCACCACAAAAAATAAGTATTTGAGGTGATAGATATGTTAATTAGCTTGATTTAATTATTCCACATTATAGCCATAAATAATAACATCACTTTATACTCCATAAATACAATTATAAAATTATCAATTTACAATGAAATTTTTAAAAATAATTTGATGCCATTAATATTGTATCAATTAAATGTATATATATAAAAAATGATAAATCTATAAAAAAAGGACAAATGTGAAGATTTTGTAGCAGCATAGAAAATAAATGAAATAGTCTCATGGTAAGTGAATAAAGCAGAACCCAAGCTTGTTTATTAACTGATTGTGAAAATATACATGTTACTTAGGAAAAAGCCAGAAGAGAGCTGGGAAAAATGAACACTGTTCGATTTAGTAGTACAAACCTTTACTAACTTTTTCGTTTTGTATTTCTTTTAAATTTACGTTAATAGTATGTTTTTCTCACTGTTGAAGATTTGAGCATCCTCTAGGACCCATGTAACAATTCATCTAACCCTAGTCAAAGCTTTAGGAGTTTCCCAAGCTCCAGGTACACCAAACAGATTGCAGATGTACATTTTAATTTTTCTCTATTCATTCTGAAGTTTAAATTCAGAAAAGAAACTTACCTTACAGGTAGTATACGAGGCACAGTATGTCTGTCCTTAGCTTTCTCTGGGGAAGATCCATTCTTTTCGGCAGTATCTTCATGAGCAGTGCCTTCTTCCTCTGGCTTCTTTTTCTTGTTAGAACTTAAGTTCAAAGGACAAAAAATATACTCTCAATTCCCTAAAGCATATCCCACACCACCCTCCTCCCCAGATCTACCATATGTGGCTTAAATTTTCTCATTCATTAGGATAACAAGCATGCTTCAACCACAAAATTCTTCCAATAGTATCATTAGATCATATATTCCAATGACTCCAATGAGTAAACTTCAAGAAAGCCAACAGAAGTCAAGGTTAGAGTTGTCTAGTGGTGGTTGAGAAGAATAAGGAGAGATTTTACCTGCTCACAATCAAATGAACAAACAACAGTTAGTTGCTTTCCCAATCTAGTCTATCTCTTTTTTATTAATAGAACTCCAATTTGGGGAAAAGTAGCAATGTGCCAAGCTAAAGTATTATTACTTGCTTTTACAGCCTCTACTCCAACTAGAAGACCCAAGTGACACAGTCTGGGCAACTGAGATATAATTTAAGGGTTTCTGGAAAAGATTTCACTTTCCTGATATGGGTGCTGCCCCTCTACAATACTCTCTCTTGAACATGGATGTGATACCTAGAGGTATAGCAGCTATCTTGTGATAATGAGGCAATAAGCAAAGGCAAAAAGCTAAGAAACATAGAGCAGCCACCTTGAGCAACAAGTACGAAAATAAAAAACTAAGAATAACTAACTGATCACAACCAGTTATAGATTTCTTTATTCCTCCACTACTCCCACTGTTTCACTTGACTAAGATTTAAAAAAAAAAAAAAAAAAGCTAAGAATCAGAGATGCTAGGCATCTTTCAGCACTGAACCAAACCAAACTACTTTTAGACTTCTGTGACACACATAAGTCATTATTAAACCACTCTACTTAAATACACTATCCCTTGAAGGAAAACATATTTCTAACTGATAAAACTAAGACCAAGCAGCACCACATATTCAGCTTGTTATTAACCATAGAAGCAAACAGGGGAAAACTGTAAGTCAACTAAGATTTGAGCACCCTATAGGACACAAGTAACAATTCACCTTATCATGCTCACAGTTTTAGGAGTTTCCCAAACTCCTGGTGTATCAAATAGACCACAGATGTACTCATTTGTAATTTTACTCTGTTCACTCTAAAGTGTAAATTCAGGAAAGACACTTACCTTACAGGTGGTATGCAAAGCACAGTATGTCTGCCCTTGGCAGTAAGAAGTTGTGGCTACTTACACTTTCATTTTTTTAAGGGGTGGAATTTCATCAGTGACTACAGGAGTGGCACATCTCTTGGCTTTCATTTTTACATGGTCTTTTTCTTTCTGTTCCAAATCCTTCCGAGCAGAGAGTCTAACAGATCTTCTATGATAGAAGAATTGACAAAATGTATCTATAATGAATACATCAACTACAGATATGCAAACGTTGCTCAGAAATGTAAAAGGATGACAAACTATAAAGAGCAATAAAAAGTTAATGTTATCTCCACTCTAAAGATCTAATCTCTCTTCTCTTGCCAATAGTTTTTGAAATTTAGCCATAAAATTTTGGTACTTAAATCCATTGATGTTTGTAAATTAGACCTTAATATAGCTGATTAAAATTAAAAAACTTGCCAGAAATCACCTAGTACAACCCCCTCCTTTTATAGGTAAAAGTCCAAATAGATGAGGTGACTTGACTCTGGTAGTCACCCTATTAGAAACTAGTCACAGCTAGTTACTTCCACACTTGAAATTAGACATCAGATCTCCTAGAAATTGACTAAGGTATTTATTTTCTCCTTTTTCTTTTAGCTGCTCCCCTACACCTTTATTTTTTTATTTTTTTTGGTAAAATATAACACATACCAAAAAGTGCACGAGACAAAAATTAAGTAGTTAGATGATTACAAAGTAAAAGACTCACAAAATCACCATCTAGACCCAAATACAGAGCATTGATGACCACTATCTTGACTTTTACAGTAATCATTATCTTTTCCTTACCATTTCACCAAATAAGCAAATAACCATGGATTCAATAAACATTCTATGTTAGTTTCAGGCAAAAATATAGTTTATATAATGTAATCAGACTGCTGCAAGTATTCTTTCCTGTCTGATTTATTTCATTGAACATTATGTTTGTGAGTTCAGGTGCAGTGGCTTACACCTGTAATCCTAACACTCTGGGAGGCCAAGGCGGGAGGATCACTCAAGGTCAGGAGTTCGAAACCAGCCTGAGCAAGAGCAAGATCCTGTCTCTACTAAAAATAGAAATTAATTGGCCAACTAAGCTGGGCACGGTGGCTCATGCCTGTAATCCTAGCTCTCTGGGAGGCTGAGGCGGGTGGATCGTTTTGAGCTCAGGAGTTCGAAACCAACCTGAGCAAGAGTGAGACCCCATCTCTACTATAAATAGAAAGAAATTAATTGGCCAACTAATATACATATACAAAACATTAGCCGGGCATGGTGGCGCATGCCTGTAGTCCTAGCTCCAAGGGAGGCTGAGGCAGGAGGATCGCTTGAGCCTAGGAGTTTGAGGTGCTGTGAGCTAGGCTGACACCACGGTACTCACTCCAGCCTGGGCAACAAAGTGAGACTCTGTCTCAAAAAAAAAATTAATAAATAAAATAAAAACAAAAACATTATGCTTGTGAGATTCAACCACACTGATTCACATAGCTTTTGTTTGTTTGTTTTTTGTTTTAAGACAGTCTCACTCTGTTGCCCAGGCTAGAGTGCCACAGCATCAGCCTAGCTCATAGCAACCTCTAACTCCTGGGCTCAAGTGATCCCTCCCGAGTAGCTGGGACTACAGGCACACACCACAATGCCTGGCTAATTTTTTCTATTTTTTGTAGAGACGGGGTCTCACTCTTGCTTAAGCTGGTCTCAAACTCCTGAGCTCAAACGATCTGCCCACCTTGGCCTCCCAGAGTGCTAGGATTACAGGCATGAGCCACCATGCCCAGCAGATTCACATAGCCTTAATTCACTGATTTTTTTTTTTTTTTTTTTTTTTGAGACAGAATCTCACTTTGTTGCTCAGGCTAGATAGAGTGAGTGCCATGGCATCAGCCTAGCTCACAGCAACCTCAATCTCCTGGGCTCAAGCGATTCTACTTCCTCAGCCTCCCGAGTAGCTGGGACTACAGGCATGTGCCACCATGCCCGGCTAATTTTTTGTATATATTTTTAGTTGGTCAATTAGTTTCTTTCTATTTTTAGTAGAGATGGGGTCTCGCTCAGGCTGGTTTCAAACCCCTGACCTTGAGCGATCCATCCGCCTCGGCCTCCCATAGTGCTAGGATTACAGGCGTGAGCCACCGTGTCCAGCCTAATTCACTGATTTTTATTGCTGTATAATATTCATTGTAGGAATGTGCCACTATTTATTTAACTTACTGTTAATGGGTTAGTTCTTCATTTTATGTACTATAAATAACATTGCTATGAAGATTTTCATATGTGTCTCTTGGTGTACATGTGTAGTCATTGCTATTGGGCATATTAAGTCATAAGATTGCTGGGTCATAAAAAATGAATATGCTTTTTTCTCTGATTATCATAAGATTGAGTGCCTTTTTGCATATTTATTGGTCATTTGGTTATCCTCTTCCATGAAGTACTAGTCCAAGTTTTTTGCTTGTTTTATATTGGGTTGTCAAATCTTTCCTATGATTAGTAGGAACTCTACTTCCTCTGGAAGTTTTATGTATTATAGTTTTCCCCCCTCTGGAGGCTGGCTTTTTTTTTTTTTTTTTGAGACTGAGTCTCAAAAGCCTACAATTAACCGAGCATGGTGGCACGTGCCTGTAGTTCCAGCTACTTGGGAGGCTGAGGCAGAAGGATTGCTTGAGCCCAGGAGTTTGAGGTTGCCGTGAGTTAGGCTGACACCATAGCACTCTAGCCTGGGCAACAGAGCGAGACTCTGTCTCAAAAAAGAAAAAAAGATATTGTCCTATATTTATTTATACGAATTTTACTGCTTTAGCTTTGACATTTAGATCTATAGTTCACCTAGAATTGACTGTCTTACACAGAGTGAGATAAGGGTCAAGTTTCTTTTTTTTTCTATTTGGATATCCATTGCCCAAGCATTGTTTATTAAAGGGGGAGTGGGGATCACCCTTTCCCCATAGGTCTGCAGTACTATGTTTCATATATGTTGTGTCCATATATGAGCAAAGACTTAAAAGTCTTATGGGACAGTATCAAGTAATTCCATATACAAGTAATTGGAGGTCTTGATGGAGGTGGAAAAGGGGACAAAAAAAATTTGATGAATGGACAAAAAATATCCAAGATTTGGTGGAAAACATTAACTTACAAAGAAGCCAACGAACCCCAAGCAAGATATATATAAGGGAAACCAAAAACCACAACCTGGCAAATCACAGTCAAACTGCTGAAAGTCAAAAATGAAAAAATCCTGAAAGCAATGAGAAAAAAATAGTACATCACATACAAAGAAACAAAGATAAGATCAAAGTCTGACTTCTCAGCCAGGTGCAGTGGCTCACACCAGTAATCCTAGCACTCTGAGAGACTGAGGCAGGAGGATCGCTTGAGCTCAGGAATTCGGGACCAGCCTGAGCAACAGCAAGACCCCTTCTCTACTAAAAAACAAAGAAATTAGCTGGACAACTAAAAATATATTAAAAAAATTAGCCCAGGCTTGGTGGCACATGCTGCCTACAAAAGATGTACTTTTAAATCAAAGGCAAAAAAGCAGGTTGAAGGTAAAAGGATAGAGAAACTATGCAAACACAATCACAAGAAAGCTTAAGTAATACCAGGGAACAAAGAGAGACATTTGACATCAGGAACATGTAACAATTATATCTATACAAGGACTTTGGAACCAGACTGATAAGGGTTTGAATCCTGGCTCTGAAATAAACTTGCCTTGGGCAAGCAACTTAGTATCTCTGAGTCCTCTATAAACTAAGCATACTACCTACAACTCATAAATATTATGAGAATTAAAAAAGGTAGCATAGGGCAACTTCCGGGGCCCCCGCTCTTGGGGCCCCAGAACCTCGTCCACGAGTGTATAATAAAGCCACGTGGTTTGGCCCCCCCCAAAAAAAAAAAAAAAAAAAGGTAGCATAAAGAGGCCGGGTGTGGTGGCTCACGCCTGTAATCCTAGCACTTTGGGAGGCCGAGGCGGGCGGATTGCTCAAGGTCAGGAGTTCGAAACCAGCTTGAGCGAGACCCTGTCTCTACCAAAAATAGAAATAAATTAATTGACCAACTAAAAATATATATATACAAAAAATTAGCCGGGCATGGTGACGCATGCCTGTAGGCCCAGCTACTCGGGAGGCTGAGGCAGTAGGATCGCTGAGCCCTGGAGATTGAGGTTGCTGTGAGCCAGGCTGACGCCACGGCACTCACTCTAGCCTAGGCAACAAAGTGAGACAAAAAAAAAAAAAAAGGTAGCATAAAGAGTGTAATGTAGTATGGATACATAGTATGTGCTGTGTTCAAACTATACTTTGAACATTATTATTATAACCACCACTTTTGAGCCCCAAAACAGTCTTACCTCTGTGGCTGGGCTGGAGTTTTTCTTGATATGGCTCCTTCAACTTGCAGGGAAGAACAAGCATTTGATGAAAGGGACTGTTCCACAAGATTTTCCTTTTCTGCCTCTTTGTAATAAGTGTTAGCTGTAGGAGACCAAAAACTAGTTAGTAGTTAAATCCCAAGGAAAATAATGATGACAGACATAAATATATTAATATATACATATGACTTAATATAGAACTCTAGATTTATTTTTTGTGACATAATCTGTTGCACATCAGAACTCTAGCCTTAAAATTATGTGTACACATATAAACATTACATATATATGTATAAGGTGTGTGTGTGTGTGTGTGTTGTGTGTGTGTATCCTTCCTAAGCAATGGAATCGTTAGTTCCGGTGAAATCTTCTGCAGAAGACCAGTTTATAAAAGCTACTTTGGTTGAAACAGAAATTAAGTATCCAGAGACCTGCCTATTTGCCAACCTAAGGTACCATCTTAAAAAAAACATACATCCTACGTGGGGTGCAGTGGCTCCCACCTGTAATCCTAGCATTTTGAGGGGCCGGGGCAGGAGGATCCCTTGAGGCCAGGAGTTTAACACCAGCCTGTGCAACATAGCAAGACCTCCTCTCTATAAAAAAAAAGTTTTTAATTAGCCAGTCATGGTGGTGTACACCTGTAGACCCAGCTACTGAGGAGGCTGAGGCAGGAGGATCACTTGAGCCCAGGAGTTTGAAGTTGCAGTGAGCTACGATCACACCACTGTACTCCAGCCTGTATGACAGAGTGAGACCCTGTCTCAAAAAAACCAAAAAACCCAAAAACGGTAAAATAAAACTGGATATCTATATATAGACTGCCATCCCTCACTATATACAATAACGAACTCAAGGCCAGACACTGTGGCTCATACCTGTAATCCTAGCACTCTGGGAGGCTGAAGCAGGAGGATTGTTTGAGCTGAGGAGTTCAAGACCAGCCTGAGCCAAGAGCAAGACCCTAACTCTACTAAAAATAGAAAAATTGTGCCAGGTGCGGTGGCTCATGCCTGTAATCCTAGCGTTCTGGGAAGCTGAGGCAGGAGGATCATTTAGCTCAGGAGTTCAAGACTAGCCTAAGCAAGAGTGAGATCCCATCTCTACTAAAAAAAAAAAAAGAAAAAAATAGAAAGAAATGAGCTGGACAACTAAAAATATATAGAAAAAATTAGCTAGGCATGGTGACACATGCCTATAGTCCCAGCTACTTGGGAGGCTGAGTCAGGAGGATCACTTGAACCCAGGAGTTTGAGGTTGCTGTGAGCTAGGCTGATGCCACGGCACTCTAGCCCGAGCAACAGAGTGAGACTATCTCAAATAAAAAAAGAAAAATTGGCCAGGCATCGAGGCCTGTGCCTGTAGTCCCAGCTATCCAGGAGGCTGAGGCAGGAGAATCACTTGAGCCCAAGAGTTTGAGGTTGCAGTGAGCTTTGATGATGCCACTGAACTAAACCTGGGGTAACACAGCAAGACTCTGTCTCAAGAAAAAAAAAAGCTCCTGATGTTCTGATCAAATAGATAATATTCTGCAGGTTTAGTAACCACCAGTTTAAATGTCAATCATCTTTTAAAATCAGATACATTGGCCGGGCGCTGTGGCTCACGCCTGTAATCCTAGCTCTTGGGAGGCCGAGGCGGGCGGATTGCTCAAGGTCAGGAGTTCAAAACCAGCCTGAGCAAGAGCGAGACCCCGTCTCTACTATAAATAGAAAGAAATTAATTGGCCAACTGATATATATATAAAAAATTAGCCGGGCATGGTGGCGCATGCCTGTAGTCCCAGCTACCCGGGAGGCTGAGGCAGAAGGATCACTCGAGCCCAGGAGTTTGAGGTTGCTGTGAGCTAGGCTGACGCCACGGCACTCACTCTAGCCTGGGCAACAAAGTGAGACTCTGTCTCAAAAAAAAAAAAAAAAAAAAAAAAAAAAAAAAAAAAAAAAAAATCAGATACATTACTCAAAGATACTCAAAGAATTCATGTACAGTAGCAAGAAGGCAAGCAGTACACTCTTCTCCTATTTTGTTTCCCAGACAGACATGGGTTATGTTAAATCTTGTAATAAAAAGAAAATAGTTATGTATCTGACAATAAAATTCTATATTAGCTTAAGTTCCAAGAGATTAGTTTTACATTCATCATGAAATGAATTAGCCCATTTCACCAATAAACCAAGGAATATAGCATTTAAGTAATTTTCTGAGATTGTCAGGCTCCTAATACACTATCCCACCATTTTGCCAAGGAGGTTTTTTCTATGATGTTTTCTTACCTGGTCTCAAAGGTGTGATAAGAGCTTGCTGAAGATTAGCCTTTCTCAAAGGAGTTTTGCCCTGAAAAAGCCCTGCTATCCCATTCTTCCCAAGAAACTTATTCTCCAAATTGGCCTTCTCCTCTGTAGAAAGGTAAGATCATCATTATCCAAACAATCAGCAAGGAATCCAAACAAATCAGTACCATGAACTTAAAATAGGGGCTAACGCCCCTTACAGGAATACTTCCAATACATTTGTCAAGTACAACTGGGTTCTAGCAATGAAAAATAAATGAATACACAATATACTCCACAGACAGACTGTAAAAATAATCACTAAAACAGTGGCAACATTAAACAATGTATTACAGAAAAGGAAAAGTGCAGATTCTGCATTGTGAATAACTCCTTATCTTTGCTTGATACATATTTAGGTCCATACAAGCATGGACTGGCCTTATCTGCCCCCTAAATACACCATGTTCTGGCCAGGAGCGGTGACTCATGCCTGTAATCCTAGCACTCTGGGAGGCCGAGGTGGGTGTATCGTTTGAGCTCAGGAGTTCAAGACCAGCCTGAGCAAAAGTGAGATCCCATCTCTACTAAAAATACAAAGAAATTAGCTGGACAACTAAAAATATATAGAAAAAATTAGAGGGGCGTGGTGGCATGTGCCTGTAGTCCCAGCTACTTGGGAGGCTGAGGCAGAAGGACTGCTTAAGCCCAGGCTGCTGTGAGCTAGGCTGATGACACAGCACTCTAGCCCAGGCAGCAGAGTGAGACTCTGTCTTGGGGAAGAAAAAAAAAAAATACATCATTTTCCTCTTAACGAAAACTGTAGCCACCAGGATCTGTAGGGCTTACAAGGGACTTTTATAGAGCTTTATAGTCTTTTATAAAGCTTCTTAATGCAGTGGGGAGTGGGGAGTGTGGGGTATATAAGAGTAGAGCACAGCTAGGTTTTTTCAAGAAATTTTATTTTAGGTTATACTGTGCCCAGCAGTGCAAAGTGGTGAAAGGTCTGTTCTATCAACAGCCTACTGATAAGTAGGGTGTCAGGAATGCAGTGAGAGCAAACAATAATACATTCTGATTGCAACTGTATAAAAAGATATGATTATTTGAGAAAAAAACTGGAAAGTAATATATTAGAATTAAGGTAGTTTTGAAAACTAGTGGGATCAATTTTTTCCTTCCAAACTACATTTAATAGTATTGTCATGCTAATATTTCCCTTTTTTTTATTTGATACAGAGTCTCACTCTATTGCCCAGGTTAGAGTGCCATGGCATCAGCCTAGCTCACAACAACCTCAAACTCCTGGGCTCAATGATCCTCCCGCCTCGGCCTCCCAGAGTACTGAGATTACAGGCATGAGCCTCCTCGCCCGATTCCTCTTTTTTGTTTTAAAGAAAAACTTAGAAAAAGAAATCCTCAGACAGCCCAGCCATCTCCTCAGAGTTCCAGTGAAATAAAGGAATGGGGAAGACCCCTATAGGACAGCTGGCCCTCTTATTTATCCTTTCTCCCACAATACTTCCAACAGACTCCTCCTCAGAATCCCCATCGGATACCATTACAGTCCTTTTCCAAGAGAATGGCATCACATTTAGACAATGCATTATAAGTAAATGGTAAGTGCAGCTGTGATGGAATCACTTTTGTTCCCCATTACATATTGATACTGATTTCTCCTAATAAGGAGGATGGAGGCTGGGTGCAGTGGCTCACACCTGTAATCCTAGTACTCTGAGAGGCCAAGGCAGGAAGATCACTTGAGTTTAAATTACTATGAGCTAGGCTAACACCACTGCACTCTAGCCTGTATGACAGAGCAAGACTCTGTTTCAAAAAATAAAAAAGAAACAATTGGCTAGGCATGGTGGCATGCACCTATAGTCACAGCTACGGCAGAGGCTGAGGCAGGAGCATCATTTGAGCCCAGATGTTTGAGGTTCTAGTGAGCTATGACGATGCCACAGCATTCTAGCCCAGGCTATAGAGCCAGACATAGTCTCAAAAAAAAAAAAAAAAAAAACACTTTAGGAGGCAAGGTGGGACTGCTTGAGGCCAGGAGTTCAAAACTAGCCCGGGCAACATAGCAAGATTCCATCTCTACAAAAACAAAATGAATTTGGAGAGGGGTAGTGGGAGGGAGGTGAGCATAGGTATAAGGTACAACACAGAAGATCCTTGTGATATTAGAGCTATTCAATATCTTGACTGTGATGGTAGATACACGAACCTACACAGGTAATAAAATTGCAGAGAACTTAATATGCACATACAAAAAATGCATAAGTAAAGCTGGGAAAATCTGAGTAAGACTGGTGGATTGTCAATTGCAAAGATGTGGAAACAACCCAAGTGCCCATCAATACATGAGTTTATTAATAAAATGTGGTATAAGTATACCATGGAGTACTATTCAGCTATAAGAAACAATGGTGATATAGCACCTCTTGTATTATCCTGGATAGAGCTGGAATCCATTCTACTAAGTGAAGTACCCCAAGAATGAAAAAATAAGTACCACATGTATTCACCATCAAATTGCTTTTTGTTGTTGTTGTTGTTGTTTGAGACAGAGTCTTGCTCTACTGCCCAGGCTAGAGTGCCGTGGCATCCACCTAGCTCACACCAACCTCAAACTCCTGGGCTCAAGCAATTCTCCTGCCTCAGCCTCCCTAGTAGCTGGGACTACAGGCATTCGGGCTAATTGTTTTTCTATATATTTTTAGTTGTCTAGCTCATTTCTTTCTATTTTTAGTACAGACGGGGTCTCACTCTTGCTCAGGCTGGTCAAACTCCTGACCTTGAGCGATCCTCCCACCTTGGCCTCCCAGAGTGGCAGGATTACAGGCGTGAGACACCGCGCCTGGCCTTCAAATTGCTTTTAACTGATCAACACCTAAGTGCACATATAGGAATAACATTCACTGGGAGTCGGGGCAGATGGGAGGGGGGAAGAGGAAGGGGAAGCAGGGGATGGGTACATACACACATAATGAGTGCTATTCGCACCATCTGGGGGATGGACACACTTGAAGCTCTGACTAGGGGGGCGAGGGGGCAAGGGCAACATACATAACCTAAACATTTGTACCCCCATAATATGCTGAAATAAAATAAAATAAAATAAAAGACTGGTGGATTGTATCAATGTCAGTATCTCAGTTGTGGTATTATACTCTATGCCCAATGATAACAGACAAAGTTATTATGTGGCTGGCATCACTATATTCGGGTTTGAATCCTAGAGTTTCAGTGAACATTGTTTCATCTGGATTTTCCCATATGTCTCTAAAGCCTAAGTATTTGTCATTGTGAACTACAAAATAACATTGATTTGTACTTATAGTCCATTCCCAAAATACAGAGCATTTCAATTATTTCTACCATAACATGAATGACAAAGTGCCTTGGTTTAGAAAGGAGTTTATCTTTTATTTTCTTACAACCCCTTCTAATTTTGAAAGGTCCTTAAGACAAAGCAAGCCACTAATCCTTAAAATGGCCACCGATCCTAGGTGTGTGCGCAGATTTCCAGCGCACAAAAAAGGCCATCGATACTGCCTCAGAGAAATAAAAGGAAAAGAAAAAATAGGCCGGGCGCAGTGGCTCACGCCTATAATCCTAGCACTCCGGGAGGCCGAGGTGGGCGGATTGCTCAAGATCAGGAGTTCAAAACCAGCCTGAGCAAGACCCCATCTCTACTAAAAATAGAAATAAATTGACCAACTAAAAATATTATATAAAAAAATTAGCCGGGCATGGTGGCGCATGCCTATAGTCCCAGCTACTCGGGAGGCTGAGACAGCAGGACTGCTTGAGCCCAGGAGTTTGAGGTTGCTGTGAGCAAGGCTGATGCCACGGCACTCAGTCTAGCCTGGGCGACAAAGCAAGACTCTGTCTCAAAAAAAAAAAAAAAAAGAAAAGAAAAAAATTAAAGACTATAAAAATAAATTTTAAAAAAAAATGTTTTTTTAAAGGCCAGAGAAAGAAGACACTTACCAAACCATGAATCTATGTTTTCAGTATCCTCCTCATCACCCAAAGATGTAAAATTGATGAAGTCCATGGGGGCATCATAGGAATAAGAGGTTTCAACTCGCGACATTGCTCCCCACTTATCACTCTTGTAAGAGTATTTGTATCTCTTTTCTTAACAGGTGACCTTCTGAAGAAAGAAACGGTTCAGAAACTTAGTCGCACATTAATCTGAGGTATTGATTGCCAACAATTACTGTGGTTTTACTATCATGTTTGCAATTTTGTAAATCACCCAGAATTTACTGAAAAATATGCCTTACTTTTTCTAATCAACCTAAAAGTTAGCTTATTATTATTATTTATTTTTTGAAAGACTTGAAGACTCTGTGATAAATATGTTTGGAATTACAGACAAAGTTTGATAAGTACTTACAATATGCCATGTACTGTGCTAGGTGTATTACATTCATTATGTTATTTTCCCACAATCTATCATTTTCTTATCTCTAGCCTCCTCTCATCCAGTTTACTTTCTCTCTGCCCTGAATAACCCAACTTCTGAAACACATCATTAATTTTTATACCTACCAACCAAAAGTTTACTCATCATTCAAAGTCCAATTCAAATCTCTATGAACTCTTTCCCAATTTCCACCTACTATACATAGTTGTTGACTCTCCAAAGCCATAGTGCTTTGTTTATATATAACTCCGCTATAACACTTATTATCCAATTTTAAATTAGCCAACTATGTAAATGTCTCTCCCAGTAGACTCTAAGTTCCTGAAGACAAGGGTAGATTTCACTCACTAGTGTTTACCTCATCCATCCACAGTACCTTATACATAGTAAAAGCTCAGTACAATTTTGCCAAATATAGGTTTTCTTTCCTTAGAAATATCTTCAAAGTGTACACTATTCCTAGGCATGAAGAAAATGACTTTGAAATACACGTAAAAGGCACAACATGTAGAATAAGTAAAAGGAACAAGCCAAAGAAATAAGCCACACCTACTCGTGTGTACAAAGTTTTGCACTCTATCCTGTGGAAACCTGTTTAAAGTCAGCCCCCACTCCAGTCCTATTTTGTTAATAAAATAGCTGAAAGTAATGTGAAAAATAGCCTAAAGGCCACATTTGCTGGCAAACAATTTGCCTCTGAAACCGAATGAGCCATTTGTCTTTATCCAGGGAACAACACGTACTTAAAAGTATTCTGTATCTTGGAAGGGAAATAGATACCAGTAATCACTTGCATAAATGTTTATTAAATTAATACCTTTATTTAAACTATTATTTTAAAAATACATGCTTATTTAAAAAAATAGATTAAAAAGCTTTTATTTAAAAAAGTCTATCATGCCACATTATTCCATACTACTTCTCCCTCATATATATGTGTGTGTATATATATATATATATATATATATATATATATATACACACACATAAACTGTTATTTTATTTGTAAAAAATGAATCACTGGCATTTTGAATTTGTTTCCCATAATGTATTTTTCTGTGTCAATAAATATAGACATATCATCAATTAATGGCTGTACCATAATTACTTATCCTCTATTTTTAGCCCTTTTCCAATATTTTTACTGTAAAGACACTGGTGGAAGAATATCTTTGTAGCTAAATTTCTGTGCACATCTACAATTCTTCCCTTAAGATAAATCCTAAGAGGTAGAATTGCTGGGCAGAGGCTCTTGAAACATACTGTGAAAATGTTCATCAGAAGAATATTCACATTACCAGAGGAACGGGCCAGTTCCCCAAACTCTCACCAACTCTGGGCACTAACAACCTTCAGTACTCATTTTCTCTAACTATACCACTCTAGCCATACTCTGAGATAATCATGAGATTAGTTACACCCAACCTACATTGCTGCTCAGTAGTTTGGCTAGCATTTTATAGCTTCTGTCAGCGGACTAGGGTAATTCAGAAGATACTTCTGGGTTTACAGTGTCTCCGGAAACATTTGTTATAATAAATATTTCATTTATATAGTGATATAAATCTAGATACCAGAGAATTTCATCTTCTCATGGCCTCTCCTATGAACTAACTGCAGCCAGAATTCCACAAATACCTTTATAACAATGCTCTAATTGAGGGACTTAGTGTAGAAACATGACATTTTAGAAGTGGGAGAAATCTTAGGTAACACCTAACCTTTGCAATTTATAGATAAGTATTAATTAAAGCATAAAGATCACACAACAATAATACTAATGACCATGGTACAGAACAGTTGCCAAAGGCACATGCCAGGTGACACGAAGTACTAAATATTTATTTATTTATTTATTTATTTATTTTTTTTTTTGGAGACAGAGTCTCACTTTGTCGCCCAGGCTAGAGCGAGTGCCGTGGCGTCAGCCTAGCTCACAGCAACCTCAAACTCCTGGCTCAAGCAATCCTTCTGCCTCAGCCTCCCAAGTAGCTGGGACTACAGGCATTCGCCACCATGCCCGGCTAATTTTTTGTATATATATTAGTTGGCCAATTAATTTCTATTTATAGTAGAGACGGGGTTTCGCTCTTGCTCAGGCTGGTTTCAAACTCCTGACCTCGAGCAATCCGCCCGCCTCGGCCTCCCAGAGAGCTAGGATTACAGGCGTGAGCCACCGCGCCCGGCCCTGAAGTACTAAATATTTACTATTTCTTTTTTTTCTTTCTTGAGATAGGGTCTCACTGTGTTGCCCAGGCTAGAGTGCAGTGGCATTATCATAGCTCACTACAGTCTCAAACTCCTGGGCTCAAGTGATTCTCTTGCTTCAGTCTCCCAAAATGCTAGGATTACAAGGCGTGAACCACTGTATCCAGCCTAAATATGTACTATTTCTAATGCTCACAACAATCCTGTAGGGCAGCAATTATTATTCCCCATCCTAGAGGAAGCTCAAGATAAGATAGATTAAATGACTTGCCCAATATCACAGTTACATAAAAACAGAGCTAGATCTAGAACTAAGGCTCCTGACTTCGGTGCATTGTTTCTTCCCACATCTGTCTGCCCTTTTACCTTGCGGAATTTTTTTTTTTTGAGACAGTCTTGCTTTGTTGCCCAGGCTAGAGTGAGTGCCGTGGCATCAGCCTAGCTCACAGCAACATCAAACTCCTGGGCTCAAGCAATCCTCCTGCCTCTGCCTCCTGAGTAGCTGGAACTACAGGCATGTGCCACAATGCCCGGCTAATTTTTTCTATATGTATTAGTTGGCCAATTAATTTCTTTCTATTTATAGTAGAAACGGGGTCTCACTCTTGCTCAGGCTGGTTTCGAACTCCTGACCTCCAACAATGTGCCCGCCTCCGCCTCCCAGAGTGCTAGGATTACAGGCGTGAGCCACCTCACCCGGTCTACCTTGTGAATTAAAGAAGCATGTTAATGTAGTTAAGATCTCTATTTCCAAGTAAATCTATTCTCCATAGTCTTTCGCCCTGAACAGGGGTTAATTAGTATTCCCATTCTAAATTCTCCACTCTCCCCCATTTCTACCTTCATTATTCAATATAACTCAACAAACTCTTTCCTCATGGTTCACTTATATTGTACACTTGCTAGGGGACATTAGATATGGGCTTGATAATACCTGAATTCCTTTCTTGAAACTCTATGTCCTCACACAAAAAGTAGAAGATCTAGTCCCAGACACAAAGGAACTTAGCACCTACATAGGAACTAAGGTCCTAGCATAGCCAATAAGAGTATACAATATCTAAATTATATAATATGAACTATAAGTACGAAGAGAATTAGAGATAACATGGCTGAAGTCAAGCTATGATTAAATGTTTTTCATTGAACATCATCAAAACAGTAGTTGGTATACTAAAATGGAAATCACCTCCTTGATAGCCACCTTCCAAGCTTAGAATAGCTATGGGACAGTTCTGGTTGCTCATGAAAACTAAGTAAGAAACTGCTGAGGGATTCATACGAAAATTTTTAGTTTCCTGATATAGCTATAGCCCTTGTTCCTGCCCTTCCCCTTTACCCTTCTTCTTGCCTTAAAGGCAGATGCAATGTCTAGAGCTATAGCAGCCATCTTGTTTTTGTGGGGTTTTTTAAATTATTATTTTTTCTGTAGAGATGGGGTCTCAAACCCCTGAAGTCAAGCAATCCTCCTGCCTCAGCCTCCCAGAGTGCTAGGATTACAGGCAGGAGCCACCACGCCCAGCCTGTAATAATTTTTTTTTAAGGCTGGTCAAGTGAAGCAGTGGGAGTGGAGAAAGAACAAAGGAATTTGTAACTGGTTACACTGGATTAATTGTAAACACCACTGTACTTGGACCAACCAACTAAGCTACTGATCACCCCGATCGTCAAATAGAAGCAACCGGCTGGGCGTGGTGGCTCACGCCTGTAATCTTAGGACTCTGGGAGGCTGAGGCGGGAGGATCATTCAAGGTCAGGAGCTGGAGGTCAGGAGTTCGAGACCAGCCTGAGCAAGAGTCAGACCCTGTCTCTACTATAAATAGAAAGAAATTAATTAGCCAACTAAAAATATAGAAAACATTAGTCGGGCATGGTGGTGCATGCCTGTAGTCCCAGCTACTCAGGAGGCTGAGACAGGAGGATTGCTTGAGCCTAGGAGTTTGAGGTTGCTGTGAGCCAGGCTGATGCCACGGCACTTTAGCCCGGGCAATAAAGTGAGACTCTGTGTCAAAAAAATATATAAGCAACCATCTACCTCCAGATTTCTTATGTGAAAAAAACAATAATCTTTTTCTATAAGCCATTACAGTCACATTTTCTGTCACTTACAGCCAAAAACAATCCCAATTACTACCGAAGTCCAGAATTCTAGCCCTACCTCTGACATTTACTACATGTATATGAAAACAGGCAAGTCACTCTCTGCCTATCTACTTCCCATAAACAACTAATTAGGTATTTCAAGTACTATGAAATACACTACCATAAGGTATTATCACTGCTTACACCTTTCCTCTCCTTGACTACATTTCTATTCAAAGGATCATACGTGAAAGATTCCACAGTGACTGACAGTGATTAAAATTCTCTTACTGCAAGGAGGACGTTTTCCTGTTCTTATGAACAAACATGCTGGGAGACATGGGAAAATCTTGGATTCCCATGATCTTAATGCCTAACCTAGGTCACTGGGAACATTTCCCAGGCAGGAATGTAATGAAGACAACTAAAGCTGG